ACTGATACGATGTAGCATGACGCGCAGATGGCGATTCGAACAACGATTACTGGTAGCTGAGGATTAAAACGACGACGCGTCGTCGACAGCGGCTGACGTGTTACGGTGGATGCTTGACGTCGTGGCTTCGTCGTCGTCGTCGCTTCCATCAGCCGCCGGCCACATTCATATTCCAAACACGTCACCACGCATAATGGTGAGAATGCATAGGAGACGGTTCGTCCACCCGCTTCAGAATCGCATTATTCGATCGATAACGGCTTACACGCGTACTGTAGCTACTTACAGGATAGGATATGTGCACTGTAATGAAAATGATTAGGACGCGATTTTCAGGAAGTGATAAAGCTGGAGAATCTTCTCGCTGCTGGAAGGATCTGAAGGCTGGCCTTGTGACTTTGGAGTAACTGTGCTCTCCTTGCATTCGGCCTGTTTTCTGTGCCCGGGGATTTGGGAACAAGCACAGGGAAATCTGAGAGACGTCTCTGGCTTGCCGAAATGGCACTGGAAGAAAAAAATGCACCATACTTCCTATCGCTCTAGTTCTTCTTCTCCTCCTCCTCGCGGTTAATCCCGCATAGAGCCTGCTGTTTCTTGGTGTAGAGATAGTCAATCACCTTATCCTGATATCAATACATCCCACTCTCCTGTTGTGACCCCGAAATCAGTGCGCACTTTCTTTCTGACTTCCCTCCCTCCCCTCCTCTTCAGCGCTTCTCGCGGTAGCTTGTACTGCGCTCCGAAGCTCATCGCTTTCCCTACCGGTGGCCTCCTTAAGTCGAGCCCATTCCGTGCAGTAGTCGTTGTTTCCTCCTTGGGTAGTCCGCACGATGTCCCGACACCGTTGTTCCTGCCCTGCCCAATCGCGTCCAATCTTTCCATTGCTCCAGGAGTTCTAAGATTTCCCCCAGCATTCTACTACAGCAGCACACCGTACTCTGCTTGTATCGCGACTGCCAAAGGAAGTGTACTAGGTTGAAGTCATTCAGAATGGAAAATGTACCACTACTGCAGATTGGGATGATCTGGAAAATGCAGTGGCAATTATCGAGCGGCAGGAAACTGTTAGACTGATTCCTCTGCAAGATTGGACTTCTTGCGTTTCCGACAGTAAGTCCAGAAAATTCTATGCACATACTTTGCTAGCACTTCCTTTGGAAGTAAGCAAACCAGCCCTTTTGGCGTTTCTGCTGGGACCGTATGCTGAATGTTGGGGAGGGGATGGGGTCCCCAAGGTCGACGGACTACTTCAACTCGGTCGGTACGGTAGGAGAGTGATGACGAAGTGGTGCAGCTAGGTCCAGCAGCTCCGCCAAAAGGGCTGGTTTGCTTATTCCTCGTTTTGCGGCATAAAGCTTGCAGGGTTCTTTCTCCTCATTTCTTGGCACACTCAGGCTTTCACTTGCCTAAGGCGCCCTTAGCGCGTCAATCGTTCCCATGGTCAAGAAAAGTTAATCGTGCTCAGAGGATCAAATTATCACTGAACTCAACTTGCAAGGCAAAACCGATTATGGTCGGGACACCAATCACCGATGCTCACTTTAGCCTGGCATTTTTCCTTTATGAGAAGCAGATCTCATTCTGTGCTTACCACGAAAGGATGGTGGGTAGAAGTGGTCATGCCTGCATGAGACTTATCCTGTTGGATGTGTTTTTGAACGCTACTTATCTACTTTCCAAATTTGCCAGTCGAACTACTGCTCGGAGCTGTGAAGCAATAGAGCAGCGGTAGTCGTCCAAACTCATGGACGGGAGGACGTAGGATCGACTTCCTAATGGGCTGCAACTTTTGGTGGCAACATGAGAAAAAAAAACTATGATTGCTTGATCAGCGCTGCCTGTAGTTACCAGCATAACGAGTTTGGCGAGAGTTTTTAAAGGAATCTTGCGCGGAAAAATCATGATTCTATTTCAGCCATAAATCACTGGCTTGAGACTCATTATCCACGATAATAGTGAAAAGAACTGAAGTATTGCTTTCGTTTTGATTAGAAATTCGAAAACTCGAAAAGGCTGCTACGCGTTCGAATTGCCCACGGACGTCTTTCACGAATGCTGGCGACGGGGATGCTCAAACTTGGTTCTTGGAGTGCATTCACTAGAAGCTCTTTCTGGCCTTCTGCTTCGTTGCATTCACATCTTACACTTCTACTCCATCCTATTCCATCGATCGATTTGTCTCCACTCTCCGAAATCGCGCGCTTTAACCCGATTCTCTCATTGCGTCGCCTGGTACGTAGCCGGCCAAACGCCGTCTTCTTTCCATGCCTCGCCTGGCTCTGCCTCCTGGTCCTTCGATGGTCCATAACGTGTAGTTTTTGTACGTTTGTTTCTCTTCAGAAACCGAATCTTCATGCGTGAAACTTTGTGTGCTATTTCCAGTGATCACAACTGACATATTCATGTTAGGAAAGAGTGCAAGAATTTTCCGCGCAAGATTCCTTTAAAATTGGGCAGACGCATAGGACTGAAGCAGCATGGGCGTCGCCAAACTTTGCCATATTTTTTGAAGCAGACGGATGTGGAATTCGGTAGTTTCGGATGAAATTAGCGAAGGTTAAAGTTTGTAGGGCCCAACCACTTCCCGTGAAATCCACCTACGACCTCTTGCTGTAAGGCTGGACGCATTACGAATTATTTTTTGCTTTCGTAACCGCCGTAGTCATCGAAATCGATTGCAAAGGAAAGAGTATTTGGAAAGGTCAGTGTCCAAGAAACATACCGCAACAGCGTAGATCTTATTGCATATCGCAAGTTGTCGAACCTCGAAGTGGTTAAGGGAAATAAAGCAATTCCGCTCTTAACACCCTTACCGCTTCAGTTGCTCAATTCAGGTTCAAATTATGCCGGTGGTGCTCGTACGCAAATTCGAGAGATTGGGCGCGAACCGGTCGAAAAAGGACAGGGCGTGTACGGATGGGAGAATCAAAGAGTATAGATGCTCGGTGTTTGATGCTGATGAACATGTAATCAATGTGTGAATATCGTGCGATTTTGTCTGGGCGTAATTTAGATTAAAACAGACTTCAAAAACAGCTACGACTAAGTTGCGACGATCCTCACGATCGGCTCTTCACATTCTAGTTATCTGCGCGTATCAATGAACTTTCTGACTTCGACTAAGATTTTACATTCGTATCATTACTTGTTTTATATAGTGTACACTTTATTGAGAGCACATTATCCTTCAGCGAATACAGGGTATGGGGCAATATGAAAGGGCAGCTGCTGACTGACCTCTTGACAAAAAGATAGGGAAAGAAAAGACCGTCATTCGAATATTTTTAGCTTGTGTTTATTATGTTTATGGTCCATTCTTCGGTGAAAAAGGACCTCAGAGGGGGAAGAGAGACTCCTGCGTCAGCCATTTCATTCTCAGCCCAATCCTTCCCTCCCCTGCTCGTGCCTGGAGGACGCCGGTTGATGTTGCGATAGCGCCGCAAACAGGTCCAAAGAACCAGTTAATATCTATTCCATAGCTACTGGTCCCTCTTACAGCGCGAGTCAGTAATAAAGATTTTTTCCATAGGGCAAAATCTTTTGAACATGTGAGATTAATTCACAACGGGCTTAACGCAAGTGTTTCTTTAAGACGAAAAATTGGTTGCTCTGTTCGACAAACCGTTGGACATAGACTGACAAGTGTTCCCATTTGTCCTTCTGCAAACAATTTCAAAAGGGCAGAGCTTAGATGAGCTTCGCAAAGAATCGTTGGACGGTTTTTTAAGGGGCAGGTCTTTAGATGAAGAGCGCTTGATAAGCTTGCAAGAGTCGTTGGACGGTTTTTTAAGGGGCTCAACGGTGGAATATGGATGGCGGTATAGTTCGTGAGAAGACGAAGATTGCTAGAAGCGTGTGCGGATTATGCAAATTTTCTTATAGTGGTCGATCCAGAGAGCACCGAATCGCTGGCAGTTTAAAGCAATCTCGTCAAATCAGGGATCCACTACGAACGGTTTTTAGGATTCGAGCGAATAGATAAACTGCGAGGAAAGAATTTATGCCCACAAGTTGGCGAGGACAGAAAGCATGATCATCAAGGCGGGATCGCGATGCGAGTTGGTGTGGCATTTGTCTTTTGTAAAATGAAAGAATGTGGTTGTTCAACAAGGTGCAAGAAGGAGAAGTGCGAAAAGGCAAGAATCACTCATAAATCACTGCAATTGTTCGTGTGTAGGTCGACCATGGTACGGAGACGCCGCTGATCAGTAGGCAATGCATCATCGACAGCAACTCGACGTCGAGTGATGGTTGAATTGAGCGGGTCGCAGCGGTCACTATTAATTGTGAATATCTCCTTGTTGTCGCACTCTAAGTCGTGATATTATCATCACCTCTGATTATGGGTTGTGCTACCCCAACCGGAGAGAGGATTTCTCTGAGGATCTAGGCGCGACCGGGATCTCTGGAAGTTGTTATTCCTGCCAAAAGGAACAGTGCTAAGTTAGTATACCAAGAAAGTGAAGGCCTTCTGATTTGAGTAGAGTTGATCAGCGGATTTTTGAGAAGTAAGCAGGTCTGACACGTCGTTGTTTTTACTGTCTCACCAAGAAATAGTTGTGTGTTCCGACAAAAAAAAAGGAGAATAAAAAATGTGGAATTGAGGTAAAGAACTAATAGGTAATCTATGGTAGGGGCGGAAGTGGTGTAGTGGCAAGTGGCACGCTTACCACGCGAGCGGTCCGGGGATCAAATCCTGGGTCGTGAGTCGCCCGGGCCAACCAAGCCTTCCATCCCTCCGGGGTCGGTTAATTGGTACCAGACTTGTCTGGGAGGATAAAAACACTGACTTGTACATCGGCTGGCCCCCGCAAGTCATTGTATAGGCCACATCGCATTCAAACGCCACTACGAATGTACAAATGGAAGTAGAATGCGTGCCGCATCCCAAAAAGGGATTGATCAACGGCAAATGCTTTATCCTTTATCCTTTATATAGTAGGGATCATATAATACGTTGCAGCATATGCATTATAGACAGCTATCTATCCTCCGTCATCATGGTATCGGCTTGTTTTGTTCGTTTATGGAATATGAATGTAGTGACATTATACTTACCGTCAATAATAGTTGAGCGGGCATTTGCTTCCAAATATATCAGTGACTACGAAAGGACCCTAAGGTCGTGGATATACAAAGTTATAATTCCGGTCGTCTATATTATATCTACAATTGCTACTCTCACCGACGTGTTAGGTAATTTTTTATGGCATTTCTAGCCGTTATTCTAAAGTTTGAGAACTGTTCATAGTTAGGGTACAGATAAATGCTAGCCTCTTACACCGAGTATTAGTGCCCAGGTGTGAATCTATTAGCTTTATATTATTAGCCTGGACCTGCCCTAGGTATAATGTGTATCGGGAAAAAATGCTCTGCTTCAGGCTGCGTCAACTCAGTAATTCGAACGACGTGCGTTGGCTTGTTTTTTATTACCTATTGCTTGACGTACGTGATCCTTTTTCGTCGAGATCTCAGGAGACTGCAAGATATTAGCAGCGATGTCCACAACAAAAATGTTATTTATACTCTGAGCACAAAATTTCAATTGAAAGAAAATCTCAGAGTGTTGAAGGTAGTCTCCATTTTCTGATTACTGCCGGTAACCAAAGATAATCACTCATCAAAATCACTCATCAGAAATTTGGGGAGATTAGGTGACAAACACTCAACAAATTTTCCTTAGCTAGGCGTTTGAAAAGCACAAAAGTGGGAGTGACGAGTGCCACATTACATTCAGCACCTTGACGACAGCGCGGCAACCATGTATGCCACCATTTCTGCACCTCCATGGACAATGTGGCAACTATGTATGCCACACCAGTTACATTTATTTTTTGCGCACATGT